TGTGCAAGGCAAATGCCCTACCCACTGTATTCTCTCTCTGCTTCCCTCCCACCCCAAACTATATTTTATTTATTTTTTTTATTAGTGAAACACCATGAGGTACCATTGTAGACTTAAAAACTTTCATGCTTGGGTTTCAGTTTACAATAATCGAGTACCCATTCCTCCACCAGTGCCCATTCTCCAATGATCCTATCATTCACCAATGATCCTAGTACCCTCCCACCCCCACGCCCCACCCCCTGACCCCACCCCGCCTCTGGCAGGGCATTTCCTTTTGCTCACTCTTTCCTTTAGGGTCCCACACTCTATTTTGAAAGAAGAAAAACTATTAGGAACATGAAACCAGCACTGTTGATTAAGAGATTGAGTGCAAGGTGCCCTGAGAAAATTGCAGAACCACATTTAGACTCTGTCTCCTGCACCTTGGCAGCAGTCCCTCCAGCAGCATCCTTGAGCAGCTTGGCAGGATGGAGGGACAGGCGGGATCCTGTTGCCACAACTGAGTCTCGGGTGCCAGCTGGCGTGCTCCCCTCTCGCTAGAGCTCTGGTGTGCTGGGTGTTGTTCTTGACACAGCCCGCACCTAGGGCAGTTCTTCCCCTTTGCACATGCACAACTCCCCCTGGAAGCTGCTCCGAGCAGTCCCTGGCCACGGGCTCCGTGACATGTCACTTTGTGTCCGTGTCCGATCACGGAGGAGTTATGTGACCTTGTTTTCCAGCCAAGTGGAGCAGGGGGGCCCAGTGCCGTGGCAACTTCATCCCCACCTGCTTCCCTGTGGACATGGGCAATGGTACCTGTGCTCCTTTCTGGAGCGTTGATTTTGGACAGCCGGTTTGTGACCCTGCTCTCCATGCGTCCTCCCCCTTTTCATAGGTAAGAATAAGCGGGTTGGAAAACAGTTAGCCTCTCAGAAAATCCTTCAGCTCCTGCATCCGCATGTCAAGAACTGGGGGTCTTTACTACGCATGTACGGCCGGGAAAGCAGCAAGATGGTCAAGCAGGTAATCAGACCCTGTCCTCCCACCCTGCCCCCAAACAGCAGACGTCTGGGAGCTTGTTGCCATAGGGTTTGAGTCTCTGCTAGGCCAGTGTGATGGTGGTGGCAGTGGCGGTGGTGGGGGTGGTGGGCATCTTCGTGTGTGTCTCCATCATGGAGGAGCCCTCACTGACTGGGGAGGGGCTCCGGGCAGAGCCACAAGGCGGGGTGGAGGGTGCATGTCAGTGTGAAGGTTCAGGAGCTAGGCCTTCCCCCTCTCCCTGCAGTGCTCAGCCCTAGTGCTAATTTGAGGACACCCACTATTAGGCTCGAAGGAAAGGGAGCATATGGGGCTTTCCCTGGCTGCGAACACCAGTTTCCCTTTAAACAGCTTGTATGTGTCATCTATTTTGGGAAGATCTCCAGATTTAAACCAATACTCTTAGATTTGAATGCTTTTTTGGGGTAGAGGGAAGAACTCTGAGGTGAGTTTTATGTTTTATTTGCACCCCCCATTCCCATCTTTATCAAAAAATGAAAATGGTCTGGGTTTTGATGCCCTAGAGACTAGAGGAAAGAGCCTGTGGAGGGTGGGGCTGCCAGGGATGACCCAGAGGGTCACACTAGGGACCCTGAAGTTCTTCCTGAAGACACCTTTACTCTTGAGTGTGCAAAGCAGGATTGGCGAAGTGAGGCCAGGACCCCAGGGTGCTCAGGAAATTCCAGGTTACATGTTAAGAAAATGCGGTTACAGTGGAGGTCCAACTTCTGCCTGCAGGTACCTGCATGCTTTTGGCAGTGTCTTGGGCAGAGATTGAGGACACAGGGCAGGCTTTGGCCAGTGGGCGAGGAGCCCTAGTGAGCTGGGGGTGGCAAGGGCTAGAACCAGGGGCCAGCAGGCCACTTTAGGGTCTCCTTCCTTCCGCCACATGTGGTTGTGCTCTGGGATTGCTCTGGAAGTCAGGGGCCAGTGTGCAGCTGGGGCGCTGCGCTAGGGCCTCTCCTGTCTGTAGTGTACTGTTCCTGCTGAATAAGGGCCTACTCTGCTCACTTTAATCTGAGGGTTGTGTACACAGCCGTGTCCAACTTCTCATCTCCTGTGTCTGAGGCAAGCACGGAGCTGATTAGGGCTCAGGGTTCCCTTGTCTAGTGCAGCAGACTTCTTGCTGAGGTCAAGAACACTGGGGGAAGCCGTGGACTGTTCAGTGTCCTGTGCTGTGTTGGCCTACCAGACACAGGTTGGTGGGGTAATCGGAGCCATGCAATTCCTGAGAGCCAGACCCTGTGCTCCCCAGGAGACCTCAGACAAAAGTGTGATTGAACTGCAGCAGTATGCCAAGAAGAACAAGCCCAACCTGCATATCCTGAGTAAACTGCAAGAGGAAATGAAGAGGCTGGCAGAGGAGAGGGTGAGTGCACAGCCCTGCCAGGCCCCCTCCATTACCTTTCCTAGACCATATTGTGACATTTGGGGATGGGGGAACCAACTATTGACCACATCTCCCATGCCGACAGTGCCCAAGTACACATACAGCTACTCAGGTGGCTTGTCCCTGGTGACTAATCCCTTTGAGGTGTCCATCCCAATTCTCAGGCCTTTGCTCCTTCCAGCCTGGCATGCAGTGCCTGTGTGTCCTTTTGCAGATGCCTCCTGATACCAGTCAGCCCCTGCACCCCTGCCCTCCCCAGAGCCTTTTGCCTGAGGTTGGGCTACCTGTTCTCACTTTGCCGGCTTCGCTAACCCCAGTTGTTTGTTCTAGGAGGAGACACGGAAGAAGCCCAAGATGTCTATCGTGGCATCTGCCCAGCCCGGAGGGGAGCCCCTGTGCACCGTGGACGTGTGAGGGAGGTGCCAGGCCGGGCGTTCCGGGGAGACCCCACACCGCTCACTGCAGCCGCGGGCCTCCCATGTCAGCTCCTCCCCTGCGGCCCGTGTCTGCAGCACGGCCCCGGCGGCTGGGGCTCCAGTGGTGCACAGGGCCGTCCGGGTGCACGGCACTTCCTGGGAGGCCTGCCCATAGGTGTGAGTGGATGTGTTCAGGGATGGACTCGGCCTGACCATGCAGGTGAACTTCTGCTTGTATGGATTTGCTGCAGACTGTTTTTATGAAGGGTTTCATGAATTTCAGAGTATGACATGAACTGACGAAGTGATAGATGGACGACAGATGAAATGAGATAGGGACAGCTGAGTCCCAGGGTCCCCTGTATCCAGGGTATTTTCACGGGCCACTACAGGGACCTGGTCAGAAGACTCACACTGGCACCCTGATCCCTACGCTGCCTGCTGTGTTTTCCCCCTTTTCTCTGAAAACATTAGGAAGATTTCAGATCTTTTTGGTTTAAAATAAACACAATGTTAGCAATTAAACTCTTTTCAGAGATTGCAGGCAAACCTCTAAGGCGAGTATTCTTCTGCCTTCAAATACGTTGCCAGTGTGACTGTGGCTTGCCAGTCTCATTCTGACCGATGCCCTGGCCCTGGCTGGACTACTGGCCTGACTTCCTGAGGAAGTCTCGCTGCCTGAGAGCAACGCCTTCTTAGACATGGAGGCTTCCTACCTTCGCTGGCCTCTAGCAACTTTTTACCGAAGATTTTTGCACAGTCAAGTCCATCTGTCCACCCATCGATTTTTAAAGCTTTTATGATATTTTAGCATTTGGAAAGAAACTTTTACAGTGAGAGTAGAAGATAGATTTGGAATCATGTAGCAGATATAAACAATGCATTTTAGCATGTGGACTTATTTAAGAAGAAACAAGACCTTCAGCACTATCCCTCCTGCTTACAAACTGGCGCTCTTCTGGAGCTCGGCAGAATGCTCCTGGGGGATGGCGACCCCAGGCCGCCAGGCCTGGCAACTGCTTGCTCCTGCCCTGCAGTTTGTGTTCTGCAGGCAGCTGCTGTGCCAGGTGTGGTAGAGCTGGCCCTGCCTGAGGCCTGGGCACATGGGCATGCCCTTGGCCCTGGGCACCCCCTTGTATGAGGTGGTGGTAGTCAGCATTGGCTCCCTGCCCCCACCTTTTCCCCTGTGGGTAGTGTTGATGGCATTTGTTTCCAAGAACAGATTGTCGGCCTTGTGGGCCACCTACAGCATACCCCCCCCATGTGACCAGGGTCAGCGTTCTGCTGACCTTTAGAAAACAGTACCCTCCAATCAAGTTGCTATAATTAGACACTGCTTCGATCTTGCCTCCTGTCTGCTGCTGTGAAAAATCATTTGATCATGACTGTTCACCCTCAAAACAGCCAGATGTGCCATCGTGAACCAAAGCTGTGTGCACCTGTTACTAAAGCGGGAGCCTGCCTTGGCAGCCAAGTCCACTGTTCTCCCACATGTGGGGGCAGGGGGCAGGACAGCTCTGGCCTGTTTACCTCCCAAGCACAGTTGGACCACAGCTGGAAGGGTGAGCCCTGATTCTCTGAATGCATAAAGCAAAATGTCCAAGAGGGAATGGCTGGTGTGTTATTCTCCTGGGGAAGGCTGGGGTTACATCTCTTCAGCTGGCCAGAACCTCTCCCAGATGCTGCCCAGCCCATCCCTAGTCCCCACAGGAACCTTTCAGAGCCAGCTTTGGGGATATGACTAGGCTTGAAGTCATCCCAGTAGCTGTGGGAAAATAGGGGGCACCTGGGATAGGGAGGACAGCTGCGGCAACCCCCTACTTTGTTTTTTTTTTTTTGAGGGGGGGGCACTTTGGAAGACAATCTGTTGCTGCAAATTAAACCTGGCTCTCTCACATCAATTCAGGAGCTCGGGCCCTTTGTAGTATCTCTCTATCCCTTGGCCTTGTGCTTATAACCCACAAGTACTCTTGGCAAAGCATCAAAGCAGACATCTGGTGACACGGCTGCTGTCCAACCATGCCCTGACACCTGGTGTGCTGATGATTTGGGGCTCTGCTCTGGGGAGCCCACCTCCACGGGGTGATAGAGATGTGCCTGGTCCTGCCATTTTGCAGGGCACGGAAGACCCTGTGTGCTGAAGCTCTCAACACGCCAGAGATCTGTAGTTCAAAAACTGTTTATTGTGGCCAGTGTGGTCCTGCTGGCCCAAAGAGAACTGGGGAGGGAGCCCACAGGGATGGCCACCTCCAAGCATCCCAGGCAAGGCACATACTGGAGTGCTGTGGCCGCAGCCCTGCGATCCACACGGGCGAGATCTAGAAAAGCTGTGTACCCAAGGCCTACGAAGAGGTGGAGGCCCCAGTTTCCTGTGAGGTGTCAGGCGGAGGTCCTGGTGGGGGCTGGGCCGGTGGCTCTGAGGGTGCTGGAGCCCCACCATTGGAGTACTCAGTCCTTTCAAACAGGATAAGCATCTCACAATGTGGGGTCTGTGGGAACAGGTCCACAGCCACAGCTTTGACTGGCTTGAACGGGGTGCCCTTCACCCGATTAGAGGGGGCTCTGCAGAGGCTGGGAAGAGGTAAAAATGAGATCAGCTACATGGGGCAGCCAGTTGGGGGGCTGGGGGGCAGGGCTGGGTCCTTTCATCCCACACTCACTCGACAAAGTTGGCCATGGCCGCCCGGGGGTTGCAGGAGACATACAACAGCCGCTTGAGGTTTTCTGCTCTGCGGATGGCCAGGATCACTTTGGAATCTGAAGAGGGAGAGGTGGGCTGGAAGGTGTTAGGCAAGGCCGTGGCTCCATCTCGATGCTGGGCCTCCCCGCCCGACCAGGGTACTCACGCAGGCCAGCTCGGGGCGGGTCCAGGACAGCTATGAGCTGCTGGGAGGCTAGTCGGTTCACGAGGGTGGGCAACAGATCCTCAGCCCTTCCGCAGTGGAACTCCACGTTATTCAGTTCTGCAGGCGGGGAGAGCCCTGTCAGGTGCACCCAAGCCTGCAAGGGAACCCGTCTGCCATTTTGGGTTGGGGTGCCCCTCCCCTGGGCCCTGGGAGCCCAAATTTGTGTTGCACCTTCTCACCATTTTCTTGGGCATTCACCCGGGCATCTTCCACAGCCTCTGGGCACAGCTCAATCCCCACAACTCTCTTCACCTTCTGAAGCCAGGAAAGAACAGGAGCCCATGGCACCCCACTCCAGGGCAGGTCCCTGGGGTGGGGAGTCACGTAACAGTGCGGGGCAGTGGGGTAAGATGCTCACCCTGGCCAGTGCCAGACCAATGGTGCCAGTACCACAGCACACATCCAGCACGGTGCTGCCCGAGTCCAGCTGCGCCCACTCCTGGATCAGCGTGTACAGCACTTCAGCCGCGGCGGTGTTCACCTGCAGGAGGCCCCTCACCCCAGTCAGCCTACCCCCGCGCGCCCCTTTAGTTCCCAAGAGCTCAGACCATCCCTTGAGCCCTTCCTGCCCAGGCCAAGTGACCTCTCCCAATCTCCTCTCCACACTTGGGCCACCCCCGTCCATAGCAGCATCACCATCAGTGCTCAGGCCAGGGCTGTCAAAACTGCACACTGGTAACACCACCCTGCCCCCCGGCTTGGGTGCTGTTCCTAGGCTCAGATCTCCCGCCTCAGCCTATAGTCCCACACACACCGAAATGCCATGCGGGGCCTCCCCGAGGTCAGGACTACCTGGAAGAAGGCATGCGGGGAGATCCGGAAGGTCAGCCCTAGCAGGTCCTCTCGGATGTGGCGGTCCCCCGCCACGTGCTCCAGGGCCAGGCCCTCCAGGCTGGGCGTATTTCTGCAGGTGGTGAGCGAGTCAGTACTCAGCCCAGGCAGAGGCCACCCTTTTTGCACCCCATGAGGGCTCCTCACCGCTGTCTCCCCTCCGCCACAAAGTAGAGGCAGGTCACCCCGCTGGCCTTGCCTGGCCCTGCCACGAAGTGGTGTGCCAAGGAAGCTTTCAGCCCCGTCAGCTCCTCAGTGCTGAGTTTCTGGAACAGGGAATAGAAAGGAAGCTGTTGAGCTGTGTTGTGGTGCCCCTGGCCCGGACACTCCCCCGGAGCAAGGCCACCCTGCTCAAGACCTGGGGGTGGAAGTAGGCAATGGCCATGGCTTGTCCCTGGCGGCTGGTGCGCACAGTCAGCTGCTTCCAGTGGCCCGAGTACGTCTCTGGGTCATAGGCTGAGTATGGAGTGGACCTGGGGGAGCCACAGAGGCCGTGAGCCACTGCCGTCTGCCCAACAGGCTCCCTCATCTCAGTGCTCGGCCTCCCCCCCTTTAAACCCGTACACCAGAGCAGGCCCCCTGCCCCTTCACCAGTCCTCACCGGATAAACTCCTGGAAAGCCTTCACCACCTGCTTGGTGGCCGTGGGGATGTGCACCGTGTCGAAAGGAGCGGCCACAGCACAAGTCCCACCCTTGTATTTGCCCAGGCGGCAGCCGACTGTGTTGTCTTCTCCATCAACCCCGATGCCAACCAGAAACTCACACTTGTTACGATATTCAGTCTGCGGGGAGAGAGATGGGAGGCAGAGAGGCACCCTGACCTTATCCTGACCATCCACCCTTGGGAGTGGCAATACACTAAGGAACCTGCACAGGGGCCAGCAGTTCCAGGGATGAGTGACAGGGGACACTCAAGTGATGACTGCCAAGAATAAGAGCAAAGCAGGAAGAGGGGGAGATGAGTGGCGGAATTCTCTTTAGGACAGGGCAAGGCTTTGTGCCTGCGCCACCCAGGCCTGACCTGCTGGGGCGACGGCTTGACCCCTTCCAGTGGGCAGCATGCCTTGTTGTACTTGTGCCTCTGTGAGAGCAGCCAGGGCAACAGGGCGCGGTTGGTACTCCCAATTTCCCTGCAGAGGTATGGGTGGGGGGCTTAGTTCTCCCACTCCCAAGCCCTCTCCCAACCCGGGGGTGGGGGGGCCTGGAGCGTTCCCTTAACACCCCAATGTTCCTTCCCACGGGCAACACAGCCTAGTACCTGACAAGAACCCCAAGAAACCAGGCAGACCCCAAGGATACGGTGCCCTGGGCAGCCCAGGCCCACACTCACTTGGCAAGCTTCTGTAGCACCTGCTCGCACTCCAGCCGCTTCTGCTCTAGCTGCTCGGGGTAGGGCACAGTCCAAAGAGGGGTGACTACGTCGGCAATGCATGTGGCCGATGCCTCGCTCTCTTCCTCACGCTGTCTTTTCTTGGCCATGGGGTCTGCTTTGGGCCTGGCCAGACGCACGCTGAGCGGGCGGCCCTTCCAGAGGGCCCCGTGCAGCACACGCAGGGCCTTGTCCCGCTCAGCGGCATTGCTGAATGTCACAAAGGCGCAGGGAGGTTGCCCGAAGAGCTTGGTCTTGTGGGGCTGTAGGCCAAAGCGACCCAGGAAGCGGCGGACGTCGCTGAAGCTCGTATGGCGGGGCACGTTCTGCAGCTCCAGCTTGAAGATCTCCGAGGTGAACAGGTCGTCCCTGATGTAGCTGTAGAGTCCGGGCTGGGATCCTGACTCGGGAGCTCCTCCGGTCCCCTCGCCCTCCTCCTTCTCTGCCTGGAGGGCTGGGGCTTCCGTGATTTCTGGGACACAGCTGCCATCCCGGTGACAGTCTCCCATAGGCTCTTCGCCCTGTGTGGACGCAGAGGCTGGCCGAGGGCTGAGAGCCACAGGCTCCCACGCGCCTCGTCCAGACCCCTAAGGCGTTCCCGAGCCCACGCCCTCCCCATCCCTACGCGTTCTCCGACGTCCGCCACCGCACCTCCAATCTCCACCCTCCCCACCCCAACCCCCAGTTCAGCCTTAGGTCGCCTGTAAAGATTCCCCTTCACTTTACTTTGTTGCTGAGCTGGGCACTCATCCGATCCGTCTGCAGCCAGGCCTGGGACCTGTATCGGGGAGATTTCAGCAGCCTCGCTCCGGGCCAAGCATCCGGATGCGACCAGAGCTAGTGCGGCGCAACTAGGTACCACCCAGCTCCGCCCCCGAGTAGGGGCGGGACTCGAACTCTCGGCACTCAGAAGTGGCGCCAGGCCGTGGGGTGCACCGCCCGCCCGCCAGGGGCCCGCGCCGGCCGCTCGCCTCGCCCACAGCCCTCCGACCCTCCGGCGCGTGCGGGGAAGGCCGCGCGTCTCTATCGTCCCGGCTTCCGGTCACGTCATAGCCACGCGCCCGCCCCGATCCCGGCGCCCTCGGTCGGCCCGCGAGCCACGCGCGGCGGCCGGGCGGAAGTGCCGCGGAGGCTGCCGGGAGCGCACGCTTAGCCGCTTGGGGGGCGGGCCGGGCATGCGCCACGGGCGTTTTGGCGGGAAGCGCGGGGCAGGCTGGACAATGAGACTGTCCGCCGCCTGAGCTAATAAAGCTGCGCGGGTTTTGAATCGCGGCGCGTTTCCCGCCGCCGGGGTCAGGGGTCGGGGTTCGGGTCGCGGGGCGGAGGGAAGAGTGGGCGGGCGGGAGGCGCCGGCGCCAGACGCGGAGGGAAAGAGCCACGACCAGCCGCCGAGAGGCCGCGGAGCCAGCGACGACCGAGCCAGCCGAGCCGCCGCCGCCGCCGCGCCCCCATGGCGGCCGCCAAGGTGCGGCCGGTCCCGGGCGGGGGCCGGGCGGGGACCAGGGGCCGAGGCCGCTGGCGGCGGCCACGTGGGCGGCCCGCGCCGCCGCCGCTAACCCCCGCCGGCCTTCGGGGTCGGCCCCTGCGGGCCCTCCGTGGCGCCGGGACTGTGCTCCCGGGAGCGCGACCGGGGGCCCGAGGCCTTCCGGGCCGGGGCGCGCGGGGCCTGGGGGCTGCGGGGCGTCCGTGTGACCTTGGGGCGGACCCCCGTGGGCTGCGGCGCTGCACTGGGGCGTGAGCTGGCCCTGCCTCCCGCTTCCCCGGGGCTGGCGCTCACCCCGCCGCTCGCGGGGCCGCCGGGGGCTCTCGCCTCGGGCCACTAGCTTCGGGCTCGGCCCCCCTTGCGGGCTCCCCACCCCACCCCACTCCACGCTCGGGCGCCGCCTCCGCAGCGCTTCATTCATTGAGCCCCCGGGTCGCGGGCCGCCGCGGGCTTCTGCGGCGGAAACTCGGCCCTGCTGCCGGGCCACGAGCCCGCAGCACACGGCCCGGGCCGGGGCGGCTTTGTTGGCCGCTGGCATCCGCCTCGTGGTCGCCGAGCGGGCCTTGGCCGAGAGAGGCGCCCGGGGCCGCGAGCTCTTACCTGATGGCGAGTCCGTGGAGGTGCCTGGGAACCTTGGGTTTTTACTGGTATTCCAGCCACGTGTGCTGCCCGACCCGAGCCTGCAATAGGCTACTTTGTAGTTTTCCAAGCGGATCAGTCTTTGTGGTTCTGATGTATATGGTTACTTTTAACTTAAATTTCGTTTTGGTTTGGGGCTGGAGGGATGGCGTGAGAATGGGGAGCTGTGTAAATAGTAGCAATCTGGTAGTAACTCTTTTTCTTTTTAGTAAGCCAGAGTTCTAATGTCTCTCATCCAGTAAAAAAAACTCCCAGGGTTACTTTTTGCTTAAAAAGTAACATCCTCAGGACCCTCTGTCCCCGCCCCTGTTTTTTGCTCTCCGGCTACAAATCTGAGGCTCTGAGGCTCTGGGAGATGGACCTGTTTCTCGGGTCCCTGGGTTTTGCCATAGGAGCCTGTGTGCAGATGTAATTGGTGTTGAGGTCCAGTGTCGGTCCCCCTGCTGGGTTTCTGCAACTGGACCTTTTGCACACCAGCCTTTCCTGGTTTTCAGGCAGGCTCTTGGTGTGGGGTGATACTGTTCGCTGGAGGCGCTGCGTGGTGGAGCTCAAACCAGCAAAAGTCACCTCTCCATCCCTCCCTCCACAGGACACCCACGAGGACCATGACACCTCCACAGAGAACGCAGATGAGTCCAACCATGACCCCCAATTTGAGCCTATAGTTTCTCTTCCGGAACAAGAAATTAAAACGCTGGAGGAAGACGAAGAGGAGCTTTTTAAAATGTAAGTGACCGTGTGTTGCTCCAGAAGTAGGTATCTTAGGTACAGTAAAATTGAAGTTAAGAGTCTTGTGGGTGTATCACTGTTGTTCTTCCTTTTGTTGGAGAATGGCTTGAGCAAGGGGGAATCCCCCCATGGAAATCAAGGCTCACTGTTCAGATTCACTCAGCAGCTGCCCCATGCCAGGCAGGGTGCACAGGTGACCCTTGTCTTGGTGCTCATTTTCCCTTCCCCCATAATCCTGGGTGTCAAAGCCATTTTTATTGATTTTACTTGATTGCACAATGAACTTGGGTGGTCTTAAATCTCTGGCTCAGTATTTTGAATGTTCTGGTGATGTCAAGCTCCTAAAGCGCAAGGAGAAAGGGACCATCTGCCTCCTCATGTGAAGGGACAAGACCCTGAAAATAAGCACCAACCACTACAGTAGGTGGCCTCTGTGCATGGTTTGCCCTGAGTTCAGGACTGCATCTGCACACTCTGGTCCTACAGGTCCTGTTGCTGGGGCTCTTAAGTTTAGTTACCTGTTTTTTGGGAATAGGTTGGAGCATTTTACAAGCTCCAGGAATTGCCCACCCTCTTGAAGGTGCCAGATTAAGCTATTTGGGAACTTGCGGGATGGAGGGAAGGCTGGTGGTGAAGAGAGATCACCGTCGCCCCGGCCTCCTCTTAAGGCAGGCTTGGGACTGCAGAGTGGCAGGTCTCTGTCCCCAGAGACTGGGTGAGATCTCTGAAGACGCTCGTTATCCAGGCATGTGCAGACCAGAAGTGATGCTGCACTTGGGGTGATTTTATTTGGGGGTGGGTTGGCGTTGCTGTTTTCCTCTGCCTGCATGGGGTGGAAAGTGGACTGGTGCTCTAGATGGAGGCTTTCCTGGGGATCAGCATATCAGGTCCCTGTCTTTAGGCTGAAGCTTCAGGGGATCCTCGTAAGGATTAAATTGTCCCACTGAATAAAATGAGGTCAGAGTGGGAGAGCTGTCTTCTCCAGGAATGGGACCTTAGAGTGGACTCAGGTTGGGGGCCAGAAAGGGGGGTATCGGCCTGAATCCACAGGACAAGGATATCCAGCTCACTGTTGACTCTGCCTTGCTTATTGTGCGCAATGAAGGACCAGAGTCTGGAGGTTTGATCCCATGGAGGTCACCAGACCCTCTAGGTTGTGTGCAGGCCCTTTGCTGGGTGGCAGTCTTTGGCCTTGCTCTGTGACTCTGGGCACAGGCAGTCCTGCTAACCAGGAGGAGGTCTTTGTTGAGAGGGCAGGTCTTGAGGAAAACATTGCAGCTGTGAAAATCTTATCTTTGTTTTGTTGCTTTGAGGGCCACACCCAGTGATGTTCAGGGATTACTCCTGACTCTGTGCTCAGTGATCATTCCTGATGGGGCTCTGGGGACCATATGGTATGCTAGGGATCAAATCCTGATTAGTCCCTGCTAGTCAAGAGCCCTACCCACTGTACTTTGTCTCCAACCCATTTTTCTTTCATGCCGGTGTTTTGACTTGTATGTATTTAAGTGCACAGAACAAGTTCTTTCCAGCAAATGTTTGGTTGGGTCCTCTTTTCTGTGCATGTCTAAAGCTGTTGCTCACTGACTTTTCTTGAAGGCGTGCAAAGCTATTTCGATTCGCTTCAGAGAACGATCTTCCAGAATGGAAGGAACGAGGCACCGGTGATGTCAAGCTCCTGAAGCACAAGGAGAAAGGGACCATCCGCCTCCTCATGAGGAGGGACAAGACCCTGAAAATATGCGCCAACCACTACAGTAGGTGGCCTCTGGGCATGGCTTGCCCTAAGTTCCAGGACTGCGTCTGCATGCTGTGGTCCTGCAGGCAGGTCGCTGTTTGGGCCTCCCCGAGCCTGGGAGTGGGCTGCTTCCCGAGACCTTCTGTTGGGTGCCTTTTACATGTGGAATAGGAAGCGAGGCTTTCTTGGGCTCCTCGGCCTTCAGCAGGGTTTGGAGCGCAAGAGGCATGTCTAGGCAGATGGGGCCTGCAGGAGCCGTGGAGAGCCCAGTAAGAGCCTGTTCGTGTATCAGGAAGCCTGGGGGGTTGTGTGGGGTGTGGTGTAGTCAGTGTCCTCTCTGTATTCTGTCCCCACGTCCTGGGGCTTGGTGGGGGGCACAGGCAGGAATGGGCTCTCGTCCTTCAGAGATGTTGTGGGGGGTAGACCACCAGAGACCTTCAGGCAGGCGCGCAGGCCTGGTCCGGAGAGCAGCAGCAGGAAGTTACCAACCAAGCTGCTTTGCTGTCGACTGTCCCCAGGGCTTGGAGGGTGTCTTTGGGCTCCTTCCCTGACCTAGTGCTGAGTCTGCATGTTTGGTGTCTCACATGGCTGGTGAGGCAGGCATGGGTCCTACGGGGTGATTGTTGATGAGGGCCTGGCGGCACAGCGCTCTGTGGTGCGGGAGGACGGGTGTGCCTTCGCCATTGTGTGCTCACTAGCAGGATCCGCACGCCAGGGCCTGTTCCAGCAGCCCTGCCCCACCCGGCCCGCTCCGCTCCCCTCAGCTGCAGTGTGGAGCATTCGCTACTCCCCTGGGATTCTCCCGGTCTTGCTAGGAGCTGGGGTGTTCCTGTGGGTGTTAAGTGGACCTCAGGCCTGGTGCTGATGAATTGGGTGGGTGGTGACAGGAGGCAGCCCTGTGACATCTTTTATGTACTATGACAGCTCTGACTTGTCAGAATGACTCCAGTGCAGACGAGATGGCTCTCCTAATTAAGTTGACTAGTATGTGCCCAGAGCTGTGAACAGGTTGTCCATGTGACCCTAAAGATCATCCAGAGGCAGGGACCAGGTGTCTTACTGCACTAGAGTGCTCATGGCTCACCTGCAGTGGGTCTGCCAGGAACCCAAGGAGATGGCGCGGTGGTACTTGCCCTAGCCTGTGGGTTCTGCCTTTCTTCATGTAAAGACCTGCCATGAGGGGCTGGAGCGATAATAAATAGCACAGTGGGTAGGGCATTTCCCTTGCACGTAGCCGACCCGGGTTCGATTCCCAGCATCCCATATGGTCCCCCGAGCACCATCAGGAGTAATTCCTGAGTGCAAAGCCAGAAGTAACCCCTGTGCATCGCTGGGTGTGACCCAAAAAGCAAAAGCAAAAAAAAAAAAAACACCCTACCTCAACATACTGCTGTCCTCTTGCCCTGGGGCCCTGTGGTCTTGCCAGTGGAATGCTGGGAGTGGCTGTCCTGGTCTGACCACATGCCGTATGTGGGTGACAGTGTACTTCCCAGTTTCCCAATTTCTGCCTTCTCTCTGCTCATTCCTGGTGGTGTGGCGAAGAGTGAATATGGCTCTGTGGCTGCCTTTTAGGGGGGCCACTTGACTCGTGCCCACCCTTGGCCCAGACTCTGGGGGCTGCTTTGGCTGGGCAGGACCAAGGGAATTGAATGTTTACTCGGAGATTCTGTGTGACTGGGGAGCACATAACCTTGTTCCCCGATTTGATCAATGAGTGTTTTCAAAGGTGCAAATAAAAATCTTCATCCCACAAGCCTCACACCAGGTCTGCTTGACCCCATGTGGGCCCTCCTGTGGTCTTTGAGCTGGGATGTGTGTGCGTGACAGTCACCATCCTCATACATCATCCTTCCACAGTCACACCGATGATGGAACTGAAGCCGAATGCGGGTAGCGACCGCGCCTGGGTCTGGAACACCCATGCAGATTTTGCTGACGAGTGTCCCAAGCCGGAGCTGCTGGCCATCCGCTTCCTGAACGCTGAAAGTAAGCCAGGGCTCACAGTGGCCCTTCCACAGTGTGTGACTGACCACAGGGGTATGGACGAGAATGGGAACTTACACTTACAGGCGGGGGGGCTTTTCGCAAAGCACTCTGGGAGCCTTGTCACCACTTCCCTGAGGCTAGTTTTGGATGTGGGTGTGAGGCATCCCCTAATAAGTTCTCAGACAACAGTCCAAGAGTCCGCAGAGACCTGTCACTCATACCAGGACAGTGAGGGCCAGCTTCCATGGGTAGAGACTGGAGGTTTCTGGTATCCCTTGTGACACCCTCTCCCCGCCCATATATTACGAAGGAAATGACTTAGGAATAGTGCGTTGAAGGGAGATCTACGGTTTGGGAGGAGGATGGGGGGTTTTCTATGCCCTTGCAAGAGATTGTGTGGGGACTGTGGTACCCAATCTATGTGTTCACCTACCCTAAAGCTCTCTGAGCCTCTCCTTTTGGGACTTTCTGCCCTTCAGTTCATAACTCTGATAAATTCATTGCCCACTGGCAATTGAGTTGGATCTCCAGGTGGGACTGGAAAGTTCTAATCATAATAGTGATTGGTTTCCCTGGCAGTCAGCCTCCACCCTAAGTGCTTCCTCCTGGTCACCTTATTAAGAGAAAAGGAGCTGCCTTTAGCGTCTCAGTGTTCTTCAGAGTCCAGAACTCTGGGGGAGTTTTAAGCCACAAGGTAGATGCCTGCCGTAAATAATATTTTGGTGATCTAGTTTCTTACTGTGAATTGGCCCCATTACAGGTCATGTAACCGAATGTGGAGGGCTGTGGAAACTTTTTTTTTAATATAAAAACCTTTTATGGACTTGGTTCTTTATAAGTTGTATCAGTAAATGACTTATATACCTAATTTATAAACTAGATACCAGGAATTGCACTTACTGGATCAGTCGCATTTTAAGCTACCATCTCTGGTCCCACAAGTGTAATTGAAGAGCTTCAGGTCTAAATCCCTGAAAGTCACAGTAGCATGTGGTCACTTGAGGTAGGAGTCCCAGTGCCTGAAGCCTCAAACGTGTATTTTCTTTACGTCAAAGCCTGTGTGCCGGTCGGAGCCGGACTGAGACCTGTAAACCAAGACTGACCTCCTGGCTGGGGCCTTGTTCTAATCTAGTTAAAAATTGGGTGGTGCTGGGTACACCCTAGAATCTGGTAGGTGCTGATTGAGCCTGGCCTGTGGCCCAGAAGCGAGGTATAGCCAGTGGTTGCCTGGAGCGTGATTGAAGAGCACAGGCCTACTGGGCCTCTGAGCCTGCTGGAACCGTGCTGAATCGGATGGGCAGCCTCGCACAGGCCCGCCTCCTAGGGCTCTCAAGGCAGTGGCAGCAGGGTCCCCGTGGAAGCAAGGCTCAGGTCTGGACAAGTGACCTGGCTGTTCCTGAGCTCTCTGAGCCCTGCCTCCTCGGTCAGGTTTTGTTTGCTTCACTGCGTGAGACTCTTAGGACCATCTCTTCTTTCTGCAGATGCACAGAAGTTTAAAACAAAGTTTGAAGAGTGCAGGAAAGAGATCGAAGAGAGAGAAAAGAAAGGTGAGGTGGGGGGGGGGCGGGGGGAGGTTCCTCCTTGCAGACTCACTCTGCACCCTGCTGCAGCACCAAGCATGGGTGCTTTTTCAGTCTGCCACAGAAACATGCCGGGGGCTGGTACTGCTTTGACCTATCAAAGTGGCGGAGCTGCCATGGGGACACGGGGTGCTTCGTGGGGAGCAAGCTGGGTGGGGGTGCCTGAGTGGATGCAGTCAAGACACGGGGTCTAGAGTCACCTGTGCCCAAGGGGCTTCAGAGGTGGCTGGAGGGTGGTAAGCAGTGTGACGCTTGCTGGCGGGGGGTGGGGTGAACCCGCTGCGGCATGGCTGTTGGTGGGTCAGTGCTTTGTTCTTAACTACACACGCCGTTCATTGTTGTGCCAGGATCCGGTAGAAACGATAACGCTGAGAAAGTGGCAGAAAAGCTGGAAGCTCTTTCGGTGAAGGAAGGGAGCAAGGAGTCTGAAGATGCAGAGACCAAGGAGAGCGCCGAGGAGAAGCAATAAGTCATCTTCCCTTGTTTTCCTTCCCTGCCTTTCTTTTCCTTTTTCTTTTCTAAAATTCTGCCCTGCCCCTCTTTTCAGTTTTTTATTCTGTTTTGTTTTTAAAGGGACTTTTATAAAGAACTGAATTCCAGCATTAAGCTTGTTTTTCTAAGTTTTTGCCCCATTGAAGATGACTACAGAATATCCATTCCCCAGTCATGAAAATGTACTGTGCTAACTTTCTTTTCCATAGTGGAAACATTTATAGTCATCAAAACAAGTGAATAAACAACACATTTGAACCCTGCATGGCGGGCAGGCCCATGTGTGCGCCGGCCCTGTCCTGGGAGCAGAGGGGTCCTGCTGGCTGCGGGCAAGGTGCCAGACTTGGCTTGGGGTGGTCTGCTGTAGCCTGGCTTCACGGCCCACTCTGCTGTGTCTCTCCGTTGTGGGAGTTGTGGCCCAAATAGAGAAAGTCTGGTGCTGGGTGCCCTGCCTTCCTGTGAAGTCCTGAAGAGCCACTTCTGGGACTGGCAGCAAGAGGAAGTACTGTTTTTTCACTCCTTGGTACCTTGGCTTTTGGCATCAGCAGGCCAGGCCTGGTTGATTCGGGTGGGCGTGGCCAGTCTCTGGTCCCCACCACCCTGGAAAAGGTCTGCTGGGGGTGCTTATAGGTTTTTAAGTCAGAAGTGTTTGCAAGACTGCCAGGAGGTTCATCCTGTGAAGAGGGTTGCCTCTGTAGACACTGCTATGAAGGAAGGGTTGTCGGTGTACCAGTACTTTGGTTTGGGTTTGTGGTCATCCCGGCTGTGCTGAGGACACAGTGCAATGCTAGGAATCACACCTGGGACCACACAAATGGAGGGAAAGGACACTGTCATTGAGCCACATCTCCAGCCCCTGCCTGCTATTAAGTGCACTGTCCTGCCTAAGATATATATGTGTGTCCCCGAAGACCATCGAGACTGAGGAGCCCTCCGCCTTCCTGCAAGGAAGGAGTCCTTGGCCATTACCTGCTGGCTGAGGCGCATGTGGTGTGGCCCCTCTACTAGCTGGAGTCTTGTCTGACCTGTGTGCCCAGCAGAACCTGTCATCTGTACCCCTTTTGAATCTCACGTCCTTGTTCCTCTTGTGGATGTCTCCAAAGGAAGCTACACTGAAGATGAATGCCTTGCAAAGCCTAGGTGGCTCTTCAGGAAGGCGCCCAGGGGGACATGAAGCTTTTGTGCCTCCTTCACCATGATGGGTTGGATTGGGGACACTGAACTGGGATCGGCAGATGGGATTCATTTGTGCTGGCTGTGGCCCAAGGGCTTGAGCCTCCCCAGGGAAGACTGCATAGAACAGGCTGTCTTTGCGTTGGGCTCTGCTTAGTTATACCTCATGTAAGCCTCAGACTGGGACTATATAGCCGGGAAGGGCCCTCAGAATGGCTGGGGAAGGTGGAAGTGTGGTTTAGGGTTCGTTTAAGGATGTAGCTTGTTGCCACTGGAGAGCAAGGAAAGGGAGACCCTAGCCGGAGTATTTGTATGTGCCTTGACTGAGGTAAGCTGGGATTGAAGCCCTGATGATCTTGAGGATGGAGCGGGAGAATTTCCTGGAAGTTGGGAAGGCTTTCTGCTGCTCTTTGCTTTCCCCTGGGATTCTAGCTCCTTGGGGAGAGGCCCCTGGGTGGTGGCTCATCAGCAGTAGGCAGTATTGGTGAGAAGGCTGAGATTCCTGCATCAGTGCAGTCCCAGGAACTCCCCACAGAAGGTGTCGAGCCCTTTGTATCCCAAAACGGGTGCAGACACTTGTGGGTCAGCAGTCCTGCCCTGTCATCCCTCCTTGGTAGTTTGGGGTCCTTCCCCAGAGCTTTGCTGAGAATCTTTCGGTGGGAATTTTCTGTCTTGTTTTCGGACCATCCCCAGTGATGCTCAGGGGCTACTCCTGGCTCTACAATGAGGAATCACTCCTGGAGGTGCTTGGGGGATCATGTGGGATGCTGAGGATTGGACCGGGGTTGAGTGCGTGCAAGGCAAGGGCCCTCCCAACTACTGTGTCCTGCCCCTGTTCTGCTGGGTATTTGCTTGTCCCAACTGTCTCACCAGAGGACTCTTGGGGCCCCTCTGCTGGAAGGATGAGAGTCAGGGCATGGTGGGAGACTGGCAAGAGTATTCTTGCCTGGGGTCCCTGTTTATGAAGTCCCTGGTCCCGTGACCCCCTCCTGAGTACTGGGCAGCTTGGGCAGAGTTCAAGAGTGTGTGCTTGAAGGTAATCGGCAGGGTCTGCTGTTAGCTCAATTTTGTGCTGAGACGTGCATTAGTTTCCTGCCCCTTTACTGCTCGGGTGCCTGCCCCCCATGCTAGAGCGTCCCCCCCCCCCCCCCCAAGGCTTCCCAAGGGCAGAGACTTAGAGGAGCCGGCGAAAGAAAACCATCACCATTTCTGCTGATGAGCTATATGAAGTCCCAGAGGAGCTGAGACTTCCCAAGGCGCTGGTCCTGACAAAGGGACTTCTCAGCCAGGAAGTCCCAGCACTAGGCCCTGGGGGTGGCTTCTGGGCCACCTGGGCTCTGGCCACAGGAGCAGATGCACAGGGTCATGGAGTGCCTCAAAGGGTTCCTCACCTGGGAGGAGGCTAGTGGGTCTCCCAGAAGGCATCTCACAGCTGCTGGGGAGAAGCTTTCGCTGGCCCACAGTGGGAGCACTGGAGCTTGGCTGAGGTCGGGCCGCAGAGGGGGTGACCAGCAGGTTCTGGCGGTGGCCCCAGCACGGGGAGGCCTCGGGTCCACCTTAAGCAACGGCTGCAGCATCAGGCACTGGGTGGGATTTCCTGCCGGAGGGTCTGCCCGCCGACCTATCCCCGGCAGGGGCAGGCTGCCCGGTGCTTCCCGAGGGAACCCCGCCCTGGAGTGGGAAGCGGCTTGCCTGGCCGTCGGGGGACTCCGACCCACACCAGCAGGACAGGGGAGGCCCAGCCCGCTGCACGTCGCGGTCCAGCTGTGCAGATTGAGTAGAGTGGGCGGGGAATAAGCGACCAAGTGTCCCTGCAGTGTCACACTCATCCGCCCCCTCCAGAGTGCCAGGGGTCCGGCCTGCCTGGGATCTGCGTAGAACAGGCCGATCGCTCGCGCCGAGGTGCTGAAAGACGGATCGGTGTCAGCAGAGGCCCCGGCCCAGACGCCCGGGCCTTCGGGTGGGAGCGAGCGCGGGTGGCATTCCCCGTGGGGCCCCCCGCAGGAGGAGGGCGTGGGCGCGCAGGGCGCGTGCGTGATCCCGGACGGGCGGGGCCGGGCGCGGCGGCGGCGGCGAGGCCCCGCCCCCCCGCCAGGCCCCCGGCCCGGCCCCCTCGCCGCCTGGTCCACCTTAAGGGGCGCGCTGACATCAGCGCGCCGCCGCTGCCCGTGGGGTGGGATTTCCTCCGCCGCCGCCGCCGCCGCCACCGCCGCCGCCGCCGCCGCGGGTCCTGCGCCGCGATCAGCCTGCCCGGCCCGACCCCGGCCGGCCCCGCCCGCCCGGCCCCGGGGAGGGATGCGGCGGCGCGGTGCCCAGGATGCCCCGCAGCCCCGGGACGCGCCTCAAACCCGCCAAGTACATCCCGGTGGCCACGGCCGCCGCGCTGCTGGTCGGCTCCAGCACCCTGTTCTTCGTGTTCACGTGAGTCCGCCGCGTCGCCGCGCCGAGGGGCACGGAAGGGGTAGCGGCCAGGGACAGCGCGGGCACAGCCGCGGGGTTTGGGGAGCAGGGACCCGGGCAGGCTCCAGGCTGTGAGCCGGGGGAGTGCTAAGCCCCGGCCGGCCGAGGCCGAAGGCCCGATTGTGCTCGAGCCGCTACCCAGCAGACAGGTGAGTGCTGGGTGCGAGATGGGCGTGTGCCAAGCCAGCCCTGGGGTGGAGGCACTGCCCAGGGTGGAGTTGCCAGGGCCCGCCAGCTACCCACAGCCCCCAGCCCTCCCCAGGAGCAGCTCCGGGGGTGGCTCTTGGGTTCCCTCCAGGCTGCCCAGCTTGGGGTCTCTGCCAAGTTGTTCCCAAGTCCGTGTGGCCTGGCCAGGCGGCCACATGCCCGCCCTATAGCCAACCGACACTGGCCTGGCAGTGCCCTCCGCCCTCCCTGACCTTCCTCTCGGGAAGGCTGGGTGGTCACAGCTGGAGGGCCCAGTCCAGGCCACACCCTGGTGAGCTCTGGGACACCACGGCAGAGGGCAAACCCGAGCTTCACCTGGGACATTGGCTGCCTCTTGCCCACTCGGGGTGCCATAGTGTGCTGAAGACACGGCCCCCTCCCCACCTTGATTGCCCCAAATCCCTCAGGGTTCTTTTAGGCACGAGGGGTACTCGCCAACCCCCCTAACTCCTGTTTCAGCTTTGCAGATAAGCCTAAGGCCAAAACAGCCTCGGTGACCCCCACCTTCCATGGGCCTGTGGGGCCTATGCCCCCTGCCCAGGTGCTAACCCACCGGCGTACATGAACCTGGAGAAAGGGTGGGCAGGAACCAGCCTGGCACCGTGGCGTCTTCCGCAAGAGCGAGGGTGGCTGCCATGTGGACGGGGTGTCTGTGTTGGACGCCTGTGGGGGCCGGGGCTGGTGGGCGCCACAGGCTGCCAAGATATGTTAGAAGAGGCCGATGTGGATGGGCTTATTCCTGGCTCTGATGAGAAGGCAGGTTCTTGCCACTCAGACGCCGTGAGGTATGGGGCCGAGGGAGGGGCAAGTGTGTAGTGAGCTAAGGCCCTCAGAGGTCTTCAGTCCTGGCCCGTTGCCCCAACCCCCCTGGCCTCCTGGTCTCCATTTCTCATGCCCCTGGGACATGGCTTTCCTCCGGTCTTTAATAAACAGTGCCTGTTCTCTATGGGGGACTTGTGGAATACGAAGAAGGAGCAAAGTAGAAAGACATCAGACCATCCCCACCCCAGAGTGACCCAGGCTCACCTGCACGTCTCCGCAGCCCTACCCTTCCAGCGAGCCCTCAGCGACCCTGAACTTCCCCATAGCACCCGGCCCATGGGGCCTGTCTTCCTGCCTGTTTCCATTCCATAGCTGGGTTCTGCGTTCAGGGACCCTGGTCCTGCCAGCTGTGCCTCTCCCTACCCTATGTGGGGCTGTCTCTCTGCGCATATTGGTGCCAGCAGGCCCTGCGACAAGGATCGAGGCCCAGGTGTGGTGAACTGGGGGCCACAGCCATGCCAAGGCTGCTTACTAGGGGTCATATGCCAGCCAGGCTCAGCCTGTCCCCGTCCGTGCTTCACTGAGTTCCTCTGAGGGAGCTGGGCGCTCAAGCAGGGCTCTGTGGGAAGACTAGGCCCAGTAGTGTCCCCCAGTTTGCTAATTGGGGCACACTGGGCCTGGGTGATTCCCCTTTGGGGTCTGGCCTTTCGTCACTGAGCACCCACACTTCAGCCTTGTTTCTGGGCCCAGACCTGCGGCAGACTCAGACACACCTGCTCCTGCCCTTGGGGAGTCCTCAGGGCCCCCGTCATGGGATCCCTGTCTGGAAGTAGGAATGGGGTGGCATGTGCCACCGGGCGGGTGCCCAGTGTTCCTTCGCTTCCAAGAAACCTCCCTAGGTCCCGGTTGGGCCTTTCCGTCTGGGGCCCACGAGTCCTTCATAGTCTCAGGGCCAGGCTGGGGCAGGTGCTGGGAATAGGCCACAGCGGGTTGTCAGCCAGGCCGGTGCTCCTGCCTTTCCCTCTTCCACTTTGCGGATCCTGTAACCGTCAGAGTCTGGGCTACATGGTGGGTACCAACCCCTGCTGCTGGGCAGGGTCTATGCGTCAAGGCTCTCTGGGCCAGTTCCCACGAAGGACCTGAGCACATCTCCAGTCCCAGACACATCTCAAGGAGCCGCCGGAGCTCGGCCAGACTGCAGTGGGCCCCTCTGGCAGCGGCCCCTGGGGAGGGGCCCCTGGGGGTGGAGCTCACTGGGAGCCCTTGCCAGCACTGGAGCAGGCGACTGGCCCCTGGGGCCTCATTTTCCCCATCTGCTTGGCGTCTGCACCAATCTGATGGGCGGGTACAGGCTCCTCAGGGCCAGAGGCACCCAGTGGCCCAAGGAGCGTAGGGTAGCGTAGTCCCTCCGGCCCACATGCCCATGCTAGTGAGGGCCCCTCTTCCACGGTGTTAATGAAGAACCCATTTAAATGAAAACGGCTGAGTTAAAATTTTCCATTCCGCTTTTAGCTGCGGCGAGCACGCAGCCCCTGCAGAGCCCTCCGCCCGCACTGGGGTGGCGTCTCCCCCGCTGCCCAGGCAGGGCTCGGGGCTTCAGCCTGAGTGTGGCCCTGCTGCTTGGGAGGAGGGGGCTGCACGGAGAGGAGCATTGGGACGTTGAATCTGGGGTGCCCGGCCCGCCAACTCCCCAGGGTCCACCGTGTGTCTGCAGCCAGCAGGGGGTGTTAGGGCTGGCCTAGAGTGCTCCAGCCCCTGTGTGGGAATGGGGTGCTATCTCCTTAAGTAGGACCCCCCCCCAAAGGCGTGGGGAGCACTGGGAAGCACTGCCCACCCTCACGAGCCTGGCCTGTCTTGCTGCAGAGCCCACCAGGGCACAGGGACATCCAGGGAGGTCAGAGGCGGCTGGAGCTGGGTTGGATGGGGCATGTCAGGAGCCTGTGCATGGGCAAGGGTGCATGTGTGCTGGGTTGGGGGGTTCACGTCGTGTGCCTGAGTGTGCACACCTGTGTCTGCCCTTGCTCATGTGCATGGAGCATCCGCACGTTCCGTGTCCAAGCGCACATGCCTCAGAGCTGGTGGGCCTGCACAGTGAGCCCACGGTACACACACATGCCAGAGCATGTTCGCGTGTGCATGTGTGTTCCTGCGTGTTCTCGCTGGGGTGTGTGTCCGTGTCTGTGCCAGTGTGTGCTCATTCCTTTTTCCCCTCCCTGCTTGCACGCTACTCTAGGTGGCTGGGTTCCCTGCACAGGCAGTCTCAGCCCGCGAGCCTGTCCTTGTGAGGCGGGAGCGGCCGATGATATGCGTTCAGGTGCCAGCAGAGCGTGGGGAGGGAATGCATGGGACTGACTGATCCTGAATCCAAGACAAAGCGGGGGACGTAGGGACAGTGGGCAGGTCCCCATCTGGGAGCCTGAGGCCCCCAAGCCGCCCAATGCCAACTAAGGCCCTCTCTGCCTGAGCCCGGTAGATGCAGCCCAGGCTTGCCGGTCAGGCCTGGACAGAGGCCACCGCATGTCTCACTACACGTGTTGCCTGTCACAGTACAGGCTTCCCGATGTGCCCCGTTATCATGCAGTTGCAGCTCCCACCCCCGCCCTGGGCATCTCTCTCATGGTCACGGTCCTGTCCCTGGGGCCTGGCTGGGAGCATGCGGCAGCCCCCAAGGCTGGCCCCTGCCCTTCATTTCTGTGTCATGGGTGGCATGGCCTGGGCAGCAGGGAGGGTACGATGCTCGGTCCACTGGGCTGCGCTGGTGGGCAGCGGACTCTCTGGATTGATGGGAGTGATGGGCGAGGCCCGCTCTCCGGATTCTCCCCAAGTCCTGCCCCCAGAGCCGGAGTCTGCGCATTGCTGGCGCGCCCCTGCTCCCCAGGGCCCACGGCTCCCCCGGTGCCTCAGGCTGGCTGGCTTGCCTTGCCACACTGCCTTGCTCCCGAGTCTCCGCGGTTGAAACCAGGGCCCTCCATGTCCGCACTGCACACATCGCAGCCGGCCCCTCCCAGGAGGGGCTGGGGAAAGTGACCTAGCAACTGAGCTGCACCGGGGGACGCCCCTCGCCCCAACTGCTGGGCACGCCGCAGGTGGCTCTCACCTGCCTGCCCTCCCTGCCGCCTTGTTGAATGACAGCGAGTAAGCGGCAGTGAACCGGGTGGAGCACCACCCCGGTCCCGGCATGCAGCGTGGGCGGGGAGCCAGGTATCCACCACGGAGTGTCTCGGCGGCTCCGGTCGGGGTGCCAGAGCTGAGGGAACCCAGGCCCGTGGGTCCTGGCGAGGAGGCAGGGGTAGCTGGCTGCTCACAGCCCGTGAGTGCTGTCGTGGGAAGTGGGATCTTTAAATAGCCTCTTGCTTCCCACTAAAAATAGCAAAGCTGCTGCCATGGAGGTGGTTGCCGGGGCGGCGGGGCTGGCTCAGGGCCAAGGCAGGCGTGGGCGCGCCAGCATAGCCGACACGGGCCCTGGGCACTGCTCACCTCACTGGTGGCCAGGATCACCCTGTCCTCACAGTCAGGGGCTGCTCTGGGGATTTCCCAGCTAGCCCCTCCCAGTCCTCAGCACCTGAGTGCCACCACGTGGCCTGAAGAGCCAAGAGCTGGGGGGGGGGGGGGGGGGCTGCTACCAGAGCAGGTGCTGAGGAGCCAAGTGGGTGACAGGGTCAAGCCAGGGGACGCTGGCCATGTGCCCGAGGACTGGCAGGTTCCCCGGGTCAGGGCTGCGGCGAGCGGCCACCAGGATGTGTAGAAGGTCTCCAGGGATCCAGGAGGGAGCAAAGTGGAAAGAAGGGGCCCTCACCCGACACCCACCCTCAGGAACAGTAGTGATGCCTACCGTGAAGCCAGGGCAACCCAAATTCCAGATGCCCCGCTAAGACTCTCTGGACTCAGGACGGGTCTAAGGGAAGCCGAGGTTGGCCTGAACCAGCCCATGGGGGTTTTCTCTGTGTCCAGCAGCCCCTGGGAAGTAAGGGTTCACCCTCCCATTTCAGGGCTCCGGCTCCACGATAGTGGGGTAGCGGGGGTGAGGTGTCTTGACAGTGGGTTACTCTAAATGGGGTGGCCCCAGGCCTCCAAACCTCTGGAAACCCGAGTTTCTTCTGGGGGTAGCTGGGATCGGATATGGCACAGCAGAGCCCACATGTATGCCGCCTACAGCCCGGGGGGTTGGGCAGAGGTGGGCAGGTTCGTGGTCAGCCTGTGACAGGAGTGACCGCTTGTTGCCTCACTAAACACCGGGGTAACTCGAAGGTCCAGCCAGCACATTGCATGTCCGTGCCTACTGCCTCTGGCCCCACGGCCACACAGGTGTCCATGGTTGACCCGAGCGGTGTCCCCAGTCATTCCAGTCTACAATGGCATCATCTTCCTCTTTGTCCTGGCCAACTTCAGCATGGCCACCTTCATGGACCCTGGCGTCTTCCCCCGAGGTAGGGCTGAGGGCCGGGCCTCTTTCACTCTCACTCTTGTTCCAGTGTGAGTGTGGGGGGGAGCCTTTGGGTGGGAGGGGGCGGGCAGAGAGGCCTGGAGGGCTGGCAGGGGACAGGGCGGGGACCTGCCAAGAAGACACTTTCCCCATGGCCTCTCCCCACCCCACCCCGCCGCAGCGGATGAGGATGAGGACAAGGAGGATGACTTCCGGGCCCCGCTGTACAAGAACGTGGATGTGCGGGGCATCCAGGTCCGCATGAAGTGGTGTGCCACCTGCCACTTCTACCGCCCACCACGCTGCTCCCACTGCAGCGTCTGCGACAACTGCGTGGAGGTGACTGCTGCGCCTGCGCTGCACTGGCCCCTCCCACCCCTCTGCCCCGCCCCCTCCCTCTGCACCCCGCCCCCTCCCCTACGCCTCACCCAGTGCCCCCTCGTCCCCATCTGCCCTGACGCGCTGCTCCTGCCCAGGACTTCGACCACCACTGCCCCTGGGTCAACAACTGCATCGGGCGCCGCAACTACCGCTATTTCTTCCTGTTTCTGCTGTCGCTCAGCGCGCACATGGTGGGTGTGGTGGCCTTCGGCCTGGTCTACGTGCTGAACCACTCAGAGGGGCTGGGTGCCGCGCACACCACCATCACGTATCCTTGACCTGACCCCAGCAGGGGTGGCGGTGGGGGCGCTTGGCACAGGCTTGGTGGAGGCTGGGTCAGGGGTCCTGGGGTGGGGGTTGGTGTGAGGGGCCTCCGTTCCCCAGGCTCTGTCAGCCCCTCACCCTGGGCCATTGGCCTTAACGGGGCAGTATGGCTGTCATGTGTGTGGCCGGTCTCTTCTTCATCCCCGTCATCGGCCTCACCGGCTTCCACGTGGTGCTGGTCACTCGGGGGCGCACCACCAACGAGCAGGTGTAAACCCTGGGGGCGCCTAGAGGGGTGGGGGCGAAGGGGTCCCCATGGGCTGATGGGGGTCATGCGGGATTGAGGGAGGGGAGGGGGGTTGGGCTTGGGGTGTGCCCACAGGCGCTGCGCTGGCTCCTTCCTTCCTGTGGAAGGTGCCACCGCCAGGGCCACCGCCTTGGCCCAGAAACCCCATGGGGCCCCCCAAAGACAGATAGAGGCTGCCCCTCAACAGCCTCAGCCTGCTCCGCCCTCTGCCCGCCTGGGCCTGGATCCCGGGTGCCAGGCTGGCTGAGGGGGGGCCCGTGTCCACAGGTGACAGGGAAGTTCCGAGGGGGCGTGAACCCCTTCACGCGTGGCTGCTATGGGAACGTCGAACATGTGCTGTGCAGCCCCCTGGCACCCCGGTGAGGCCCGGGCGGGGTGTGTGGGGGGGCAGCTTTGCTGGGTTTGGGGTGGGGGGCAGCGGCAGACCCTAAGCCCGGTCCACTTTTGCCCTTGGCAGGTGGGGCCGGCCCTGGCCTTGGGGTATGTGTTCAGGCCAGGTGGCTCTGGCCACTGACCCCTGTGCCCTGGTGCAGGTATGTGGTGGAGGCCCCCCGGCTGCCCCTCGCGGCTCGCCTGAAGCCACCCTTCTTCCGGCCAGAGCTGCTGGAGCGAGCCGCGCCACTTAAGGTCAAGCTTAGTGACAATGGGCTGAAGGCCAGTCTGGGCCGAAGCAAGGTGGGGACCCGGGGCTGGGGAGGGCTGGAGGTGAGGGCCGAGGTCCCCGGGCAGCAGGGAGGCCCTCTGTTAAGTTCCCAGGCCCCCTGCTCCCCACTGACCATGCCTTCTCCCAGTCTAAGGGCAGCCTGGACCGGCTGGATGAGAAACCCCTGGACCTGGGGCCACCCCTGCCCCCCAAGGTGGAGGCCAGCACATTCATCGGCGACGGGCAGACCGCACGCCCTGGCAGTGCTGGTGAGGTGGGGACATCCGAGTGGGGGGCGGGGGCACGACTCACCCCAGCCTGACTGCGGACCTCCACCTCTCCCCAGAGAGCGCCCTGTCGGCACAGAGGACCAACCCCCCTACGCCGGCTATGTACAAGTTCCGGCCCGCCTTCCCGACGGGTCCCAAGGCGCCCTTCTGCGGGCCAGGGGAGCAGGTGAGGAGGCCTTCGCCCCACCCCCAGAGCGCCCTCCTCGGGGCCCCTCCTCTCCTAGGGAGGCTTGGAAAGGACCCCCGCCCCCCAGCTTGGAGCCTTGCGGGGGAGCTGGTCAGGCAGTCCTAGCCAACCCCCTCTGCTGGCAGTGCCCAGGTTTGGTAGGTGGTGCCCCCGGGAGCATGTGTGCCGGATGCTTGGGATTCCACCACTGGGAATTCTGTAAGGCCCACGGGAAGGCCTGGAAAGAATTTGAGATGGTTTGAAACAACTCATTTGTTTTCCTCAAGTCAAATAAAATAACCAGTCAGAGCTTTGGAAGCCCTGGAGGCTGAGGGCTGAGGGGGTCCCCAAGTCCTGGGCTTTCCTTATTTCCCTACTTTCCCAGGGGGCTCCCCCCCTCCTCCCTGGCCCTCAGAGTGACCGATATAGTGGGGTCATATGGGGGAACGTGAGGGGACCAGTGCCTTCCGTGCCTGTCTCTCCAGTAGACCTCCCTGGGCAGCATGGGGTATCCCTGCCCCCTAGATGGTGGCGCCCCCCCACCACCACCCTCCGGGCATGGTGGGATTTCCTCCTGGCATTTCCCCCATGGACAGTTCCAGCGGGTTAGCCAGGCCCTGGAGGTTATGCACGTCCCTCTGCTTAGTCCCATGGGGTTAGAGGTTCTGCAGATTCTTGTCCTCAAGCGCTGGTGCCTCAGAAATCTTTCCTCTGATGCAGAGATGCCCCCTGGGGGATCTTGAAGGTCAGCCTCGGCCTCGGGCAGTGGCCCAGGCAGCACTCGGGGTGGGAGTCCAGAAAGCAGCCTTGGCCTTTGCTGACTCTCGGGGGAGTCCACTGAGGAGCAGTCCTGCAGGGGGTGGGGGCCGCCGCCCACTCCCGCTCCTCCTCCGCGGCTGATGGCTTGGCAAGGGAGAGGGTGCCGCTGGGCGCAGCTTGCTGCCCGCTCCCGCCAGTGGCCCTGGCTCCCACGTGGGCCCTCTCTCCGCCTGCAGGTGACCGACTCCCTGGCCCTGGGGGACGACAGCTTGGACTTCGAGTCAGAGCCCAGCATGGACCTGGCCGAGTACTCGGCCGGCGGCCTGCGCTCCGCCTACCCGCCGTCCCCGCCGCTCAGCGCCACTGACGCCTTCTCCGGCGCCCTGCGCTCCCTGAGCCTCCGGGCCACGGGGCGGCGGGGCGGGGACCACGTGGCGCTGCAGCCCCTGCGCTCGGAGGGTGGGCCCCCCACCCCGCACCGCAGCATCTTCGCCCCCCACGCGCTGCCCAACCGCAACGGCAGCCTGTCCTACGACAGCCTGCTGAGCCCCGGCTCGCCCGGCGGCCGCGCCTGCCCGGCCCACCCCGCGGCCGGCTACCGCTCGGCCTACCTGCACCCGGGGCCGCCGGGCGACCCGCCGCGGCCCCCGCCCCGCAGCTTCAGCCCCGTGCTGGGCCCGCGGCCGCGCGAGCCCTCGCCCGTGCGCTACGACAACCTGTCCCGGACCATCATGGCCTCCATCCAGGAGCGCAAGGACCGGGAGGAGCGCGAGCGGCTGCTGCGCTCGCAGGCCGACTCGCTGTTCGGCGACTCGGGCGTCTACGAGGCGCCCAGCTCGTACAGCCTGCAGCAGGCCAGCCTGCTGGCCGAGGGGCCGCGGGGCCCCGCGCTGCGCTTCGGCTCCCGAGACGACCTGGTGGCGGGGGCCGGCTTTGGGGGCGCCCGCAACCCCGCGCTGCAGACGTCGCTGTCCTCGCTGTCCAGCGCCGTGAGCCGGGCGCCGCGGACCTCCTCCTCCTCCCTGCAGGCGGACCTGGCCAACAACAACGCCCCGGGGCCCCGGCCCGGCAGCGGCTCCCGCAGGTCGCCGGCGCGCCAGGGACCACCCTCCCCGCCCAGCGCCCCCCGCTCGCCCTCCTATGCAGGCCCCAAGGCCGTCGCCTTCATCCACGCGGACCTCCAGGAGCCGCCACCCGCCCTGGCCATGCAGAGGTGGGTGCCGGGGGAACCCTGGGTGTGGGGATTGCCGGGCGGCCTGCAGGAGGTGGGCGTGCTCTTCCCCGGCCCGGGCGAGGATGCCGAGGGCCTGTCCTGCGGCGAGCCTGGTGCTCCAGGTCCTCCTCGAGCGGGGGCAGACCCAGACAGTGTGTGTGTAGGGGGGGGGGGCTCCAGGGGCTTCTGTCCCTGGAAAGGGGGATCACTGCCCGTGCCCAGAGTGTCTCGGCCCTGACCTCCCTGGAAGCAGAAACGGGGAAACTGAGGCCAGGTGGGCAGGCGGCTCAGGTGAACCACTAAGGGTATTTGGTTTGTGAGACTGAGCAGTGCTGTGTGCTGAGGCCCCTTTGCTGGGCACCCCAGAATCTTGAGGGCATCACCCCAGCTGTTTCGGGGTGGCGAGTCAGGAACATGGCGGGAGGATGTTTGGGCAACACGGGCAGAACCCACTTGGTCAGCAAGGCAGGGGAAGGAGGCAGAGGCGGGCAGAGACAGGGAAGAGGGCCAGAGAGTCACTGCAGAGCCGCCCAGCTGGGGTTCCCAGGACGGAGCGAGGCCCGGAGTCCCTGCCCGTGTCCTCGCCTCTCCGTGCTGGGGTCGGGGTGGGCAGGGCTGATGGCCGTTGTGACGTCAGTGTCTGTGACAGCACGGTCCCTGCCCCAGCTCGGCGCTCTGCACAGGGCAGGGCTGCCCAGGGCTCCGTCTGTGTCTGTGCCATCTGTCCTGTCCCCTCTGCCGGCCTCTGTCCCACGTGGTCCCTCGTTCACCTTGTGCGTGCCTGTGTGTGCTTGTTTTGATGCAGGGACCACCCTCAGCTGAAGACCCCCCCAAGTAAGCTTAACGGGCAGTCCCCAGGCCTGGCCCGCCTGGGTCCCGCTGCTGGTCCCTCGGGGCCCCCCGCCAGCCCTGCCCGGCACACGCTCGTTAAGAAGGTGTCTGGCGTGGGCGGGACCACGTACGAGATCTCGGTGTGAGGACTGACCGCCACGCGTCCAATGTGGCACCACGATTGGACCCCCCTGCGGCAAGGCCCTCCCTCCAGACTTCACTGCCCAGGCCTGGTGCGGATCCGTCGGCAGGAGAGCGCCACCCGCCCCTCAGCCAGTCCTTCCCACTCCGCACCTCTGTCCACCCAGCGGTTCCCCTGGGTGTGGCCAGGCCAAGGGCTTCGGGATCTGGCAGTGCCCCGTGCCCTAGCTGGGGCAGCTGGATATGTGCTGCATCTGCATGGACTGCCCCTGTGTCCCCAAGGTGGTCACCAGCCTGTCCCCACCCACTGCCCTTCCAGAGGCCTCTGCGGCCCAGACACAGCTGCGGGCCTGCCTCCTGGCTGCTCCTAACCCATTGCCTTTCAGGGACCCGCTGGAAGCCCGGAGCTTGGCCAGGCCGAGTCTTCTGCGGGGAGCCCAGCCCGGCGGGAAGGACAGCCAGCCAGCTGGGGGTGGGGTCCCAGCTCTGTGTGTTCTGTCTTCCCAGCTGGTGGGGGGCGCATCCCCCTGTCTCTGTGCTGAGCTGCCCTGCCAGTGTCCCCTGTGTTCATGCTCGGGCCCCGCCGCTCCTGCCGCCAGGAAACTCGCTTTCATTGAAGCCTTAACCTCTGCTTTATGCTCTCGCGGGGGCAGGCGGGGGCTGGCACGGGACAGATGCCGCCCCGGGGGCCTTGTGCAACCAGAGGACCCCTCCTTGCCAAACTGGAGATGCTTCGGCCACAGGCCACCGTCAGGGCCTGACGGGACCCCCTGGGGGCGGAGGGGGCTCCACGTTCCTCCTGGCGCCGGGGGCCTGAGAGTAAGCACACGGCAGCGTCCGCTTGCGTTGTGTCTGTTTTATGTTTTTATATCGACATCTATATATCTATAATTTTATTAAAAAAAGAAAAAGAGTCCTTTTGATCATTTCCTTGAACAGGGCCAGGGCTGTTCGTGCCAGGGCTGGGGCCCCGGGGAGGGGAGACCTGGGGGGTCCGGCCTCAGGAGCATCCGTGAGGCTCTGCCTGGGCTCAGACGTGTCTGCCTTGGGGGCATTTCTGAAGACTTAAACCTGGGAGACGGGGCTGGACTGTCCTTTCGCTGACAAGCACGAGGGTCCCCTGGGTCAGCAGCATCTGTGGTTGGGAGAAAGGCCGGGGCTGCAGCCACCCTGGGGGTCCCCAAGAACACGAGGGAGGGAGAAGATAGAAAAGGGGCTGCATGTGGGGCCACCCAATGGCTCAGAGTCTGGGGTGCCCCTTCTAGGCACTGTGACTACACTTGCAAGTATCACCTCACCTCCTCCTGGTCCTGCCACCAAGAGCGGGTGGGGGGTGGGTGGGGGCGCGGGATGGCGGGTGGGGCTTGCTCCAGGGTAGGCGCTGTATAAGGGGAGGGGAACTGGGCTTGGGTGCCAAGCTGGGCAGCCTTGTCCTGTGCTCACTTCCGCTGACCTCCTCCTTTCTGCTTCTCTCTCACGGGACGGATGGACACTGCGGCCCGCAGGGGGCGGATCGGCGCCTGCAGCCGTGGATGGGGGCGGCGTGGCCAGCCCCGGGGCCCCCCTGGCCTGCACCTGTGCCACCTTGGCTTCCCTGAGGACCACCCAACTCTGCGGGTGCCCTGGAGCCCTGCCGCTGGGGTACCCCCGCGCGGGGCTGTCTGCCGCCTGCACTCCGCTGCCTCCAGCCTTTTCCCCAGCCTCGCAGGCCCTGAGAGAGACAGCAAGTAGGCAACTGCGGGGCCTGCCCCGGCCCAGCCCGTGATGCCACGGACCCCAGCCCCCCTGTGTGGGGGTCCCTCCCTCTCCACCAGCCACTTTGACTCCCAGCCCACAGGGTCCTATGGCCCTGTGTTCACCCACCTCAGGAAATCCCCAACCGCTGCAGGGCGCCAACAGTCCAGGCGGGCTGCCCAGACCTGCTGGGACTAGCATGGCCTTGGGGGGTGAGTCCAGCCCCCTGCCCCTCTTGCCCAGCCAAGCACTTTAGAAGCCACTTCCTCCCCGGGGGGCCCTGGCCTCTGTGGGGTGGGCTGGGGGAGGGGCCTCAGGTTGTCCCAGCAGGCCACTGCACTCTCCCCTTCCCTTGCCCCCCCCACATGAACAGATGCCTTAACTCCTACTGGGGCGGGGGTCCTGTTGGCCTGTTGGTGGCTCTGCCCCAGCCCCCTACCCTGGGCAGTCTTTGCTCTGTCTGTGCAGGGGCCAGAGGGGCACAGAGCTCCCGCGGCCTGCAGGCCCTCAGCCTGTTGAGCCTCTCCGCCTCCTTCCCTGGGGCAGGCAAGGACCAAGTTTCCCCCTTTCCTGCCTGGCAGCAGCGGCCCGCGGGGGATGAGCTAGCTGCAGAGCTCCCCTTCCCGTTCCCAGCCCCGGTTCAATCAATGCTCAATAAAAATTTTGGTGTTTAACTCTGTAGCTCTGTCCACCACCATGGCCCCTTTGTCCTGCCAGCCTTGCAGCAGTTCCGGCCGGTTCAGGAGGCTGTGCCAAGACAAGCCGGGAACCCTGGGTCTGGGGCATGGCAGGACTGGGGGAGATTGCGGGGACTGGTGAGGGGAGGGTGGGGCGTGGCCCAGCTGGGGCGGGGCCTCATGAGGAGGTGCGAGGTCAGTGGGTCACACCTTCTGACCTCACAGTGGGCTCAGTCGCAGGGATGAGGTCTGAGGAATCCCTAAGCACTGTTGGTGGCTCTGCCCCAGCCCCCACCCTGGGCAGTCTTTGCTGTCTGTCTAGAGACCCCTTTAGACTGTGTACAGGCTGGGGTGGTCACCCAGAGGCGAATGCGGTGCGGAGTGGAGCGCAGCCTGAGGGACCCCCACCGCGAGATGGGAGTCTTTGGGCGCGGAAACAAGCTTATAGACGCCACTGTTTGTCACTGCTGTATGTCCAGCACAGGCCCCGCCCCCGGCACAGACCCCCGCCTCCACCCTGCTCCGTGCCTCCCGGCTGGGACCGTGAGCGCCAGTGCCAGGAGCCCACGAGCGGGGGCCGACACGGTCGCTGGGCACCCGGGGTAAGAGCCGGCTGCCAGGGCTTCTCCTCGCTGGGTCCGCGGGGCCTTCGGGTCTAGAAGGGCAGGAAATCGTCCACCTCGAGGCGTAGGAACGGGCTCAGCAGCGCCCGTAGCCTCCAGACGGCGGCGCGGCTCAGCAGGGGCGGCACCAGCCCTTCGAAGGGCGTGGGGTCCACCACGTACACGTAGGCGGCGGTGCAGGCCAGCAGGGTGCCCAGCAGCAGCTTCAGGGCCAGCAGCCTGCGGGCGGTGGCGGTCAGGGGGCGGGGGCGCCGATGGGGACCATCCTGGGACTGGGCTTTGCCCCTGACCCCGCGCACAGCCACCTACCAGAGCTGGCTCTTGAAGGTCTCTGGACATCCCAGCTTCGGCCTCTGAGGAGGAGGAGTAGGAGGAGGGAGGAGGAGGAGGAGGAGGAGGAGGAGGAGGAGGAGGAGGAGGAGGAGGAGGAGGAGGAGGGGCGTCAGCTGGGATCAGGACAGGGGGGTCCAGGTGCTGCCACCCCACCGCTAGACTTGGCCTCCTGTCCACGCCTCCTGGCTCTGCACCACCCTCCTGGAGTGGGCGTGGCGAGGAACGAATGGGAGTGGCGAGGGCTGAGTGGGCGTGGCAAGGAACAAATAGGCGTGGCGAGGGAGGAGTGGGCGGGGCCTACCAGGCAGGCCAGCTGCCGCTCCTTCCGGGCCTGAGTTCGACTTTGAGCGCGCTCCCTGGATGGGGGGGGGGGGGTTCAGGGAGCATCGTCAGCCCTGTGCACTCCCCGGGCTCCAGCCTGGTGCTGTGAACTGGGATAGGGCCAGGCATTGGTCTGCCCCATTCTGGGCAGGTCCCCCGCCCTCTTGCAACCAGCAACCCCCCCCACCTTCCACCTCCCGTCCGCACATCACCCCAGAATCTCTAGCTGAATGTCCTCCATCTGGTCCAGCACGCCTCGGATGTCTTTCTTGAGATTCTGTGGGGTTGAGGAGGTAAAACGGCCTTCACCCCTGGCCATCCTGCAGCCAACTCTCATCTGGAGTCCTCCCCTCCCCCTGGTCCGTCACTGGGGGCTTTGGGGGCTGGGGTGCACCAGGCTTTCCCTTTGGGGACCTACCATCAGCCCGGTGGCCTGGTTGTTCAGGGCTGTGTGTACCTCGGCCACTCCGTCCCATACCTGGGGGCACAAGGGGAAGGCCGAGTCACGCCCCAAGCTCCGGGGACCTTGCCCGCCGCCCTGACCCACCCCGAGCGCGTACCTCAGTAATGGCCATCTTCTTCCTCTCAAAGGACAGCCGGATCTGTTGCAGCTCCTTCTGCGAAACAGCACAGTGTGGGCAGGGCTCCCCGTGGCCTGCAGCCTCTCTCAGGCACCCACCCGCCCCGAGCCCACCTGTGACTGCTGTACGAAGGCCTCCTCGTGCTGCATCAGCTGCACCGGTCCTCGGTGCTCCTCCGGGGGCCGCCGGCTGATGTGCTCCGGTGACTGGGAGGGCGGTGGGCAGGGGTAGGGTCAGGGACTGCGGGGGTGCAGGCTGGGCCTCCCGACCTGCCGGGGCCCAGGCGCTGCCCGACACTTACCCAGGCTAGGGCGGTGAAGCTGGAGTGCCTGGGACACAGGGGCAGGCAATGTGGTCCCGGCCTCAGGAGAGACCCTAACTGCTCCCGCAGGTCCTGGTTCTGTTTTTTCTGAGGGTGGGAGGTGTGGGGGAGAGAGAGAGGCAAGGCTGTCACAGCTGCTGCTTGGGCTTGGGAGGGGGGGATGGAGAACTGCGGGCAGGGGCTCAGGGGTATGGGTGGGGTGGGGCCTGCTCCGCCCTCACCAGATTCTGGTTCTCTTGTTCCAGCTGGAAGTAGCACTGCTCTGCAGGCCCCAGGGGCACGTGCTGCAGCGTGGAGAAGGCAATCCTGGGTGAGGCCGGGGCTCTGGCCCTGCTGTCCGCCCCAGCCTCGTCCCTCCCAAGAGCCCGGCCTATCCTCCCCCACACCCCACTGGCTCCCCCGCACAGGCCTATCCCTCATCAACAGAGATACAGGGAAGGGCCTGAGCACCCGCTGAGTGGGGGGCATTGAGCGCATGGACGGGGCCACCTTACAAAGTCTTGGCAGGGCGATTCCTGGCATCCTCCAAGGCTGCTGGAAGTTGGGGGCTGGGGGCACTGGAAGTGGGAATGGCCACAGGACCCCAGGGTCTTTGGCTTCTCCATACCAGCCTGTGACCCCTTCCTGACCCCGGGTCCAGGCTCTGGCCTGGTCCCTCCTGCCACCCTCTCACTGAGGGGTCTTTGGTGTCACAGCCCCCCAGGTCTGGCTCCAGGATCTCTGTCACAAAGACTTGGGCACAGCCTGGGAGGTCACAATGGACCGGGCTGGGTCAGAGGCAGGCCTGGCAGTGGCCCTCTCTCCTCAGACTCCACCCGGGGGTCACCCGCAGCACCCCCACTTCACCCAGTCTCTTAAAATGTGAAGCAGGGCCAGGGTGATAGAGCAGCGGGTAGGGCGCTTGCCTTGTGCACGGGCCGCCCGGGTTCAATCCCTACCATCCCTATGGTCCCTGAGCACTGACAGGAGTGATTCCTGAGTGTAAACTCTGAGCACTACCAAGTATGAACCCCAAACAAACAAAAATCCAAAAACCAAAAAAAAAACCAGAAAAATGGAAAAAGACAAACTGACTCAGTGGAGCAGCCCACTGGTTCCCACTTGTCATGCCTGCTCCCCACCTGTCCTAGAAAAGTGCTTGACTTTTTTTTGGTTTTGTTTGTTTTATTTGTTTTGCTTTTTGGGTCATACCTGGTGATGCACAGGGGTTACTCCTGGCTCTGCACTCAGGAATTACTCCTGTTAGTGCTCAGGGGACCATATGGGATGCTGGGAATCGAACCTGGGTCAGCTGTGTGCAAGGCAAATGCCCACCCGCTGTGCTATCACTCCATTCCCCTAGGCCTGACCCAGCAATGCTCAGGGGTTACTCCTGGCTCTGCACTCAGGAATTAGTCCTTGTAGTGCTTGGGGGACCATATGGGATGCCGGGGATTGAACCCAGGTTGGCCATGTGCAAGGCAAACGCCCTCCCCACTGTGCTATCACTCCAGCCCCTCCCCTAGGCTTTTTTTTGTTGTTGGAAAAACTGTCTTGAGATCAAGCAGACATGGTCACCTTTACACATTTGCTTGTTTGGAGGCCTCCCCACAGATGCTCTGGAGGCCACACAGTGCTGGGGTAGACCCTACATGAGAGCGTGTGCTCCAGCCCTTTGTCTCTTGGCTTAGGTGATTATTCTGAGGACAGTCTCTCTCTAGAAGCTCGGGGCCCGCTGGTCCCCACTAACAGGCTTTCTTGACCTTTCAGCACGTTGCAGTGGACTGGCCGTGGGCCACAGCTGGACAGGCACATTCCTCTCTCTTTCTTAATGAGGGGCCCCCTGAAAGGCAGGTCCACTCTGGGCAAATGCTTACCCACTGAAGTTCTGCACCTGGAGTTGGGGTGACTTGCTGGTGCCCGGTCCCCTGCTGACCTTCACATGTGAGAAGTAAAGGCCCCAGATTGTTCTGTCATCTTCTTTTTTGTCCTCACCCAGGACTGTTCTTTTCTGTTTGCTTTGTCTTTCATTCTTTTATTTTTCAAGAATTTTTTATTTTGTAAGTTAGTTCACAGTATTTGATTACATTTAATATTCAAACACCAATCCCACCACCATTACATCTTCCCACCACCAAATTTGGGATGTTTCCACCCCAAGCCCTAATCCCTGCCCCAAAACGCAACCAAAATAATATATTTTGTATTCTATCTTATGAAGAACTGCTGAACATGCTTACAAAAAAGTGTTCCTATAGGAAACAGTGTGAAGATTGTTCTATTTCGGCAGGAGCCATTAAGACATTCTATAGGATACCACTAACATGTTGTTAAAGTTTGGGTGATGTGAGCTTTGGTAGATATACATATGAAAATATGATTCATTTCCTACTGTCTAAACCCCATCCCATATGGCGTGGTAATTATGGAGAATGGGTAGGGAGTGTCTTATGATGTGTTGCGTGGCTGCTTTTGTGGCCGCGCTGTCCAGGAATATGTTCACTCACATGTGAGGCTCGGCCCTAGTGCGTGGGGACAGCCTTGAGCATGGCAGCGCTTGGGCAGTGGAGGTCAGCTGCCGGAGGGAGCTGGGTCCTTTGGGACAGGGAGGGCTCTCACCCATCCCCCTCTGCGGCGCCACCTGGGGCCATTCTGTGCCTGCCCACACACTGGGTGAAGGTGTTTGTTCAATGCCCTGAGCGTGGTGGTCTTGCTCCTGTCCTGCTTTGTGGAGAGTACACTCTGCCTATCGGCACTGGCCAGCAGAGGCAGTGGCTGTGTGCCCTGGGACACAGGTGGCCAGGGCTGTGTGGTCCCTAGTGCTTCTCTAGTGAGTGATACCACACACAGCCTCCCCCTGTGGCAGGAGTAAGCTGGGGAGGATGGTTTGGAGCCCAGGTGTCCAACTAGCCCCCAATACCCCAGCCAGATAGTGGAGCCCACTCAGTTATCTGAGGGTGGGAGGGCCTTCTGGGATCCTTCACAAGCTGGGTCCTGCTTGCTTATCTCTGGAACCCCCATGGAAGCTCAGAGCCCCCCAGGAGATAATAAGAACTAATGTGCGGGCCAAGGAAGTCATCTAGAACCCCCATAAGGGAGAGGAGTGGGGCAAAGGCCCTGGTTGCAGGCATCGGGATAGGCCTTGCCAACAGGTGCCCTCCTGCCTGCCAGCCAGCAGGGGCAAGGTGCTAGAGGTTGGTGGGTCCTCCTGTGATCACAGCAGGGACAGCGATGGGGAGTTTCTGGATGGGGCACATCAACGTCCCCCGAGTGCCCAGGCCAGGCTGGCCTCAATCAGCTGTAATCTCTGAACAGGGCGCAGGAAGCTCCCGGATACCCTAATGCAACCCCTTTTTTTTTTCTCTTTGGGTCATATCCGGTGATGCAAAGGGGTTACTCCTGACTCATGCACTCAGGAATTACTCCTAGTAGTGCTCGGGAAACCGTATGGGATGCTGGGAATCGAACCTGGGTTGGCCGCGTGGAAGACAAATGTCCTACCCACTGTGCTATCGCTCCAGCCCCCCTAATGCAACCCTTACCCCCCTTTGCCCTCTTACCTCCTTCCTGGCCCAGGAACCCCACATTCCCTGCTGCACCCATGCATCTGCCTAGGCCAAGTCTGTTGGAAAAGCTTGCGGGAGGCCTAGCACCCCTCCTCAGAGCCCCCTGAAACTTCCCTTACCCCCCTGTGGCTCCTGTAACCTCAGTTCTCCAGCTGAGTTTGGAGCATCCTAGGGCAGGGTGGGGATCCGTGGGTAAATTCTTGGGATCCATGGTCATGCTGGTATTTCCCCAAATGGGTGAGAGTCATTTGAATATAGGCCAAGCACCCTACAATAGGTTTTGTCTGGGAACGGGGGGTGCACCCTGGCCTCACAGGTGAAGTGAATTGAAGCATCAGGCCATGGCCCCGTTGCCAGGCAGCTGACGCCTCCCTGGACGTCTGTTGCTATGGCAGCAGCTTCCTGCCCAGGTTGCCATGACGCCCAGTGGCCTCAGGGAACCTGTGAGTACGGGTTGGGCTGGGGCAGAGGGATGTGGAACCCCCAGTCAGGCCTGGATGCTGGGGCTGGGACACAACGGCCCGAATGCCCAGTGCCCTGCTCATTTTAAATACTGAGAAACGCTTGGGCCAGCCACGCCCCCTAGGGGGAGCCCCATCTCTGGAGCCCCTTATCTGGTCTTCCGGCCCAGGTTCTGCTCCCTGCAATCTTCCGAGTCTCCTTGTGTGTCCCCCAGGTACTGCAGGCCTCCAGGTGCAGCCCCAGGCTGGGGATCACCCCTCACGAGGGCCTGCAGTTACCCCTCAGCCCTCCCCACCCTCCTCCTACTGGATAGTGAACGTTTTTTTGCACTGGTGTGTGTCAGGCACTGGAGGCCCCTGACGGGCTCAGGGAGCACTGAGGGTGGTTTGGGGGTTCTGAGGTACTGCCTGGCCCAAGGGCAGAGGACAGGTGAGGTGTGGCCCTGTGAGGGCTCAGACAGTCCAGGAGCTTACCCTCCCCCTTCCAGGGGCACGTAGCGAGTGTTATGGGCCTCCTTCCCTACTCAGTCTGTGGGTGGGCCCTGGGAATGGGGTGCAGGGGGAAGGGCAGTGGGGCAGTGTTTGGACTCATGGGGGGCAGCCAGACCGGCCCTGTTCCTGGGCCATGACTCGGGTGGAGTCATAGGCCTGGTCCTCCCTCCCTTCCCAGGCAGGCCAGTGGTGCTCAGGACACAGGCCGTGACTGGATGCTCCCCTCCTCC